GTGAATGCACCAGCAGATTATTAAATGGATGAAAGACTTAGAAAACTCAAAAGCCTAATAAGCATACATCAAAAATTTTCCTCCATGATAGTAAGAGGCTTTTCAAGAATTGTGGGGAACGCTCCTGTGTGAGGCCCCCCAAAAATGGGCCTCACAATACGGAGGGCTAGAGCCCAGACAGTGTCTCCAGTTGAGGGAGTCAAGCTATCGGAAAGCAGGAACAGAGAAAGACTTAGGTTAAAGTTAAACTTGTGGGCAATCGCCAGATGGCCATGCAGTCATGAGATGCACTGTGTACGATATTTGAGTTTTCTACTAAGACATGTTTTACGTATGTGATAATTGAGTTTTCTACTAAGTCATGTTTTACGACTTCGCTGGTTTTCTCTAGAAGATAAATGACTTGCCCCTAGATGAGATAGTGTGACTACCTGTTCCGGTTAATTGTGTATCTGAACTTTCCATTGTTCTTACCCTATGATGTTGATTTTTCTACTTAAAAACTTTCTGTACCCCTTTGTCTCACGTAGACACACACCTAAAAAAGATATATATACTGACCCTGAGCACGAATAAAGTTGTTGGTAAAGCATATGCTTTTCAACCCTCCAGACCCCATCTGTCTATCATTCTTTGTCTTCCACGCACCCCCCTATCCAAGTTGGAACCCTCTTGCAGGTCGAGAGCTCCTGGCAGACGTGCTCCCGATAAAGAATCAATTTCATTGGAGAACAGCCTCCCAAATGCACATTTTAAACTCCTGTTTTCTCCTTCACCTTTGGACCTTTCGCATGTGTTATCTGCTAAACCATTCATACCTATCTGAGTGTATGGCTATTCTGTCCACTCCTTTCACATTCCAGTAATATTTTCTATGTTGCAGAAGGTAACCAAGTCTAGCTTAAAGACTTACCAACCTTTCTTTCCCTCAACAGCAATTGGGATAAGTAAAACACAACTCCTACTATTACTCTTAGAAGAGATCTAGAACAGTGAGTGGGTCTGTTTAAAGTTCTGAAATTACAGGAGACTGTCCAATTAACAGGGTCTGTCTCCCGTAATATGTAAATGATGGAGTAACGAGAATTACAGTTTGTATCTGATAGAAAACACAACTGAGAACACATTTGTGAAGCACTGAACAATATAGAGCCTGGCTCATTGCTATTGCCACTATTTAAGCAAGTCTTTAAATATTAGATTAGATGGCTGTTTTTAGGTTTCCAAATTTTATAAAAATAACACATAAAAAAAAAAAAAAAAAAAAGACAGTAAACATACCCCACTTGAAAAAATAAATTTCCAAAACTCAATTCTTAAGAAAAAAATCATTGCATTATTTGACAAAGATGTCAAAACAATATTAAGTATGCTCAATAAAAAAAATAGAACAAAGACAAAAAAACCACTAGAAATTGTGGAACCAAAAAAACTTGAAAAACTTTGTAGAATCACAACGGAATTAATGACCAGAAACAATAATCAGAAAATTAGACATATTATTTATAAATATTGAGTCATAAGAAAAAAAAAAAGAAAAACATCAACATGGTATACGTAACTTATTAGATACCATTAACGAGACCAATATATTCATGAAAGTAGTCTTTGAAGAAGACTGCAGAGGAAAAGTCTTAGAGAGGTTATTTGAAGAAAAAAAAGGACTCACTAAGAACTTCCCAAAGTTCAAGGTAATAAAAAAAAGAAGATACTGCACAATTTCTACTTTGTTTTTTTGTTTTTATTCCATTTTTATTATTGAGCACACTTAGTATCATTATTGTGACATCTTTGTCAGATAATGCAATCTGGGAGAAATTTACTTTAACAATAAAAAAATAAAGACTTTCAAATATGAAAATTAAGGGTGTTCGTAATTACCTCTAGAACAGTCCTATAAGAAATACTACATGGAGTCCATTATGTTGACAGACGTGGTCACTCCCACCTGCAAACCAAGCAACTTGGTAGGCTGAAGCGGAAGAAGAATCATTTTAGGCCAAGAGTTTGAGACCAGCCTGGGTGATATGGTGAGACCCCTTCTCAAAGAAGAGACCTTTATAATAATAATTCTGTTTTTCAGGGAGAGGGTTTTAAAACCTGCTAGAGCTAAAGACTGACTGGAGTCATTTCGAAAAGGCAGGCTCTCATTCAGGTGGCAAACTTGAAAACCCTTGATTTCGGCTACAGACCAAGAAATGGTTCACCTATTTTGACCCCACTTAAAATTCTGCAGTGACTTCATAACCATCTCAAGCTCCTTCCAGCCATAGTCTAGGAGTGGTTCTGCATATCCAGAGACCCAGAGAAAGATGCCTATTTGTGGTTACAGTGGTAGGTCTGCAGAGCTTGGCCTTTACTGTGCTCTCTGAAACAGTTCAGGTGACTCAGTTTCAGCACTGACAGTCACAGTTTGTGGCCAGTTCTGCCACCTAGGTTCCCACAGAGCGACCTGGGGAAATCTTGCCTCAGTAAGAAACACACTCATCCATAGACTTCATATCAGGCCCACCATACACCAACCCTACTGCAGAATACTGCCCTAGTGCTGGCCCTACAGATCAAAGTCCTAAAGGCAATTCAGTCTACACAGAAATAAGGGAAGATTAACAACTACCCAGGCTACTGGTAACAAGCCGACTAAAGGCAAACTCCACAACAGATCAAGAAGCAACCATGTGACCCACATATAACCCCTCTCCACTGCAAAAGAATTCTATCAGCTAACTGACCCAAGAGAAGATTTTTAACCTGCTGAAATCAGTCTACAAAATTAGAAAATTTAGATTCAATAAATGCCCATTAAAATTTTACTAAAATTTTCAAAGTAATAGAAAATGCAATCTTAAGATTTATATGAAATTACAAGAAACTGAATAGCCAAAGCAGTTTTCAGGATTAAAAACAAAGCTAGGGGCATTATACTTTCTGATTTTAAACTACATTTGAAGACTATTGTAATAAAACAAAATTATCTCTGCATAAAAATGCACACCAGTATCAGTGGAGCAGAACAGAGAGCCCAGAAACAAATCCATCCATGTAAGACCAACTAATCTTTGGCACCAAGAATACACAATGCAGAAAGTACAGTCTCTTCCATGCTTGGGACTGGGAAAACTGAATACCCACAAGTAAAAGAATAAAACTGACTATTTTTTTATACTATATTTAAAAATTATATATAAAATGAGGACTCTAATGTATGACATAAATTCTATTTTTTTTTTTTTTTT